ACTGTAGACACAGAAACTGATTGAAATATTTTTTCAAAACTGATGCTTAAAACTAAATTGAGCTGAGAACGACATTACTGGATCGGATGAGACTATAAAAATGAAGAGTAGCACTACCTTGAAACACAATATCTCAATTCGATTTCCTCTACGAATCCTATTATGTCTACAACTCTACATTTTTCTCGTATCAAAACTGAAAAAAACCAGGATGGTATATTATATAAAAGTTACTTATATCGTTTAAAGCGTTCAAATAAAAACGGAACTGAAATATGGGTCTACTCGTAATTCTTGTTCGTGTTCAATAACAATAAAAGATGATGTCATAATTGGTAGAATTATTTCAATGGAAGCCTGGATTTAGAAGCTTATCAAGCAACATTGCGCCCATTAAGTTATCGATATATAATTAGATAATGATTCTAATTTGAAGATGATGATGAGTATGAACCTAAAATGTAACCGTCCGGTTTGGAAGTAATATATTACTGTAGGTAGCCAATCATTCCTAATTACAGAGTGATTCGAAATTATAAACAGTGTACAAAGTATGAGAAAAGAACAAGCTCTCTATTCCAAATTGAGACCACATTTTATTTGTATAAGAAACGAGAGAATATATGCATTCTAAATTGAGACCGCTTTTTGTACAAATTTTCATTTCCAAATTGAGACCACTTTTTAAATCTAATTAATAATCATAAAAAAAAAGTGGTCTCAATCATGAAGCCTCGGAATAAGCTATTCTGAGAAAGTCTGTACGTATACAGTTTAATGTTATACACACTAAAGGTTATGTGCGTCACTAGCGACTACCCAGGTGAATGCAAATGAGATATTAATGAGCCATTAATGGCCAGTTAATGACATGACAGAAGGATGATCAATTAATGGTAGAAAAATGGCGTAGGTATGATCTCATTTATTGGTCATTTATGATCATTATTAAAAATGATATAAAAATTGGCCATAATGATCAAGTCAGAAAAAATGCGCAAAAATGATCCTAAAATGATCATTCACGAATGCTCATTTCAAGGTCATTTTTATGACATTAGCACGTAATATTTGCACGTAAATGACATAAGCTTTATGACAGCAAGGTCATTTACGTGCAAGTACGTATCAGATTTCTATGCAATTTTTATATCATTTTTGAAGGATTATGAAATGACTAAAGAATGATCATAAGTGAACCATTAATGGTCTTCCTAAAATCAGAAAATTTCGCTTTGTTTTTTTATAAAATTAGGTTTTATGCATATGAAAAGTACGTCCTAGTGGTCATGTTCAGGGATACAGGCTCATATATATATATCAAAAATCTTAGAATTGATTTTATATTAACTTAGCATAAAGTTTGTCTGTTTCTGCATAAAAGATCTTGGAAAAAGAGACTCTCCCCCATTCTATGGTATTGTCATTCTTACTTTCCTTGATCACTGCAGTATTCAACAAAACCTTATACAACATCACTTGTATTTGCATTGTGAGAAAAAAATAGCTACATAGTACACTACTGTATAATATAACTGTAACAACGACATCACAACGTAGGCAAGACACATGTTTTCGTGCGCGATCATCATTCATAGTCTTTTTTCTTTTGTTTTACTAGATCTTTTATGCAGAAACGGATAAATTTATTTTTCCAATAGATTTTCTGTCTTCTTTTTATATACGAGATCCATTCTGCTAATTTTTCGAGATTGGTTGACCCAGTCTGTTAAAATTTAGCCTAGTATTATAAGAGAGAAGGTCATTCACTAGCGTAGAAAATTAAACGTGGATGAAAAGTGGAATCAGATCAATAAAACTCATGTAGTATGTCAAAACTGCGGTAAAAATCGATATAAGGAAATACGGTTGACGGTAAAAGCTCTGCTTTTTAATGACCATAAGTACCTCGATTTACATCATTAATTGTTCATACTTGATCATTTTTACGTCGTCCGAATGTTGTAATTACGACCGTAAAATGACTCTTACAGTTGATTCAGCGAAATCATTTTACGGTCGTAATTATATTCGAATGATATAAAAATGACTAATATATGTCTCACAAATGAGATAAGAATGATGTATTTATGATCATCGAAAACGAGCGTTTATCGACTGTCCAATCAATGATCTAAAAATGGCTCATTAATGTCTGAGAAATGACACAAAAATGATCATAAAACGATCATTTTTACCGGATAAAAAGAAAATACGACTGAATAATGATACCGTTTATGGGATAAAAATAATGTAAAAACGACCGTTAATGACTAAACAACGGCAGATTAATTGGCAATTAATGATTAATTAATGAACCATAAACAAGCCATTTTTTATCTCGTTTTGATTGTCCTGGGTAGTGCAATGTAATTGCACAACTCGATCGTTGTCTAGTATATAGAACAGAGAGTATGGGTTTACTTTTGCAGTTTTCTGCAAGAATGAACTTATTCGATTCCTTTCATGTATCTATTCAAAAATTAGTTGTGTATATTTTCTAGCTGCTGTTAAAAATGCTTTCAAGAAAGTGTACTCTCACTCGAGCATGTTTTTACGGTGGTAGGTCATGTCCATGAGTGCTTTTTGGACTAAAAGCTAGCGATATATATTGGGATGCTCTGTCAAGTGTCTTAGAATATCGCGATAATGACGAATCGTAGGAGGATATAAAAGTTGTCGCAATTTTTTTGTCGTGTAGTCAAATAGAAAAAAAATGTAAATTTCTCCGGTTTTTTCGTCTATCCATTCACATACAATTCAATATTTTAGTGGAAAAATATACAAAAACAGAAATGGTAAAATATTTAGACCAGATCTGATAGACCCACTTAGTTTCGTCAAAAAGAATTTAATTAATCTTTTATTTTAGTGAAAAAAAGTTTTCTTACAATAAGTGCACCTCAACAGCAAAAAGTACAAGAATTGATCGAAAACAGTGAAATTTATGTGTGACAACCTGGAACAATTCTTTCCGAAGGCAATGCGCGGAGCCATTCAAGCTGCTACCAAACGAGAAGCAACTGCCACTGGTTCACATAAATCCAGACTTTATTTGGATGAGTTTTTATTTAAACATGATCGGAAAGTATCAGTGGTATTAGGTGCCATCACTTTAATACACGAATACACACATGCCATGCGCAATCCGCAACAAAGCCGTGATAAAACTCCGCCACTCCAATGTTTTATTTCATATTTATCTGAACAATTTGATGGTGGTTCTTTCCTTGAAAGGCATTTGTTTGGTGGAGAGTTTCTTGGTAAACCTGGACAAATTATATTACAAATAGCACCAACCAAAAGTGTTCCTGTGCCGATTGTTCTATTAGAAAACTTTTACGACACACTAGATTTGGATGTGTTCGAAAACTATATACAAAATATACCTTAATGCACGTTATGAAATTATTATACATATTTAATTTGCTGTTGAATAGTGAATATTTATATGAATTTAGAAAGTAGAATAATAAAAACTTGAATAATGAAAACTTTCCAAAAGTAGACATCTGAGACTAGTTTTTCAGAAGTAAAAATAGTTTTTTAAAAAGATTCTGAAACTGGTTTTTGAGCAGATCTTTGGAAAACCAGCTTGGATCCAATAAGTTTAATGATAGTTTTATAGAAATGGGCTACTGTCCATTCTGAAATACGCACTACCATCTGCAACCTTTTTTCTTACAAAAAGTGTTTTTCGTCAATAATATGACCGATTATCTATCGCAAAACAATCTTTTTTAACGACAACATTTGGGAATGCTGTCGCACATCTTTCATTTCCACCAATGAACGTATTCATCGGTGTTGTCCCACGATAGCTGATATTTATCGCTTATTTGTAGATTATTATCAAGCGTCAAAATATGTTTAACAATTGGTTCTATTGTCGGTAATGGATCATCAATGATACAACTATTTTCCGCCACGTATGTAAACGTCAATGAGACCAATTGTTCAGTATTCAACATGTTCATTAATACTCGAGCAATCGCTGTCGAATCGTCTTCGGCTTGATGACCACAATTTAATTTTAATACGCGTAATTGCGGAAATATCTTCCACAAACATTCGTTAATTCGACTGATCTCATGACACGCATCGATTTCAACTTCTTCTATTTGTTCGAGGTTGATAGCATCTATCTCAAGTTTAAATAAATTATCTTCAATTATTGTCAATTTTGTGACACATTTCAAATGATCAAGATCAATTTTGTTTTCGTTAGTAAAACGATTCATTCTAATCTCTTGGATTCTGTTTGAATCATCGATATTCGAGTTACATTGACTAGCAACTATTTGTTTGAATAGAAAGGGCACAGAGTATATATACGTTGGATCTGCTAGATTTGTGTAATAATCTAATTCATAATTATATATTTTTAAATAATAATGAAATTTTGTAAGCTTCACCATTTGAGATGTTAACGATCCAATGGATATGTTTTCCCCAAATACAAAACAATGACATATATTTAAAGATAAACGCGTTAACGTTGATGAAAACTGTTTAATAAATGACGTGATTTGACTAAATTCAAATGTAGGTATCCTGCAAAGACCGTATTGTGGCGGCACTTTTTCATCGGCAATGAATAATTGTGTAAGACGAGGAAGATGAATCGTTAAAAGCGTATCAAACTTAAAAATGATGGCAGTAACATTCAAATATTCAAGATATGGCGTAAACTTTAATATATGAGATAATGTGTCGAAGTGAGAAGTTTTCATAGTTAAGCATCGAATTGTAGATGAGATTGCTGATTCGGGTAGAAATTTTTCATAAAAATTTAACGATTTATATCCAAATATTTCGATGTGAGATTCACTGGAGAAAATCACTTCAAATAAATGCTTAAGAAAATCGTCCTTGCTATCCTGCAACTGAATGTACAACTGTTTAAGATGAACGAATGTGTTTGGCTTGAGAATATTCAAATTGCGCGTCGAATACGATAAAGAGAGTGAACGGAGATTTGGGAAGAGGGATGGATGAATATCGGGAAATTGATCAAGTTGACATCGTCTTTTGTCGCTGCCAATTGTTAATGATTTTACTTTATCGGCGACATCTAAAAGTGTTTGACGTTGGCATAGATTTTCAATTAATTTGAATGAAATAAATTGTTCACTGAAGTCGAGATTATTGATATAATGATGACGGTATAAAATGAGTCGTGTGAGCCGCTGATCATAGTTGAAAAACGAGTGAAGAATATCGATAGATGAAAGATAATCGAAAATACATAACACGGAATCAACATCAAAATTGTCAAATATGGTCGTGGTCGTCATCAGCGTCTTCCTTATATTAAGTGTGAAAGGTGACTGTACTTTCTCATAAGGTTAAATAATTCATACTTGCTTCTATCGCATCAATGTCAAGATAGAATATGTGTTCCTCTCGGCTTTTCTTTTCTATGGCTGTATCATATTACATAGATAATAGATAACATTCTTGATTTTCCTGTTATTTTTCTGTCCATATTTCTTTCTACAAAAGCATGTACACAGAAAAAAATATTTCTAATTTCTTCTTTCCTCAATTACAATAGATAACGGCAGTTTTAGTTTCGCTAAATGTACAACTGATTAATCCTTTCTGTACATATGAGAAAAAATTTCCTTTGAGATACATTATTTCACTTCCGAAAAGCACTTATTCTATATACGGAAAGTCAAATATAGTAGTACAAGACATTAAAAAGTACCCGATATATACAAATATTAAAAGTCAAAATAAGGAAGCCACTGCAGAGAAAAGAGGAGTACTTTGGTACACAGAAACTGTCTTCTCTAGCTGACGAAAATAATGCTGTTTCCTGTGTGATTCATGCATCACCTAGCAGATCTTATATTTCAAGTTTCGTACATGTAATCTGGTCTTGCCAAGAGATTCTCTGAAAAATTTATTTTCAAAAGACTTTTTAAATGGTTCCAGTTACAAACAAATGCCCTCAAACCTTTGCTCCACACTACAAAAGAAAACACACTCTTTTTTTGTCTCTCTTCTTTCAAAATTAATTGAAAAAGGTATCCAATACATTCACGAGGATAACTTAAATTTGAAAAAATTCTAGTTTTATTGTAAACAGTTATCGTCTGTAACTTGATTGACAGAACGACTCCATTATCCCTGCCTGACGCTACATTTTCTTCTCTAAAAATAACAGAGCAAGCAGCAACTCAATCATTTTTTGTTCTTTTCAACCTACCTTTAAAACAATTTATTACCCACATTTCTTGTACCACCCTTTCTGTTACAACAACCACACACATACTATGTGAGAGATTGTACCAGAATAAAACATGGCACAATTATTATCATCATTATACACAGTTATATACTTGAAAGCAATTTACACCTAGACTGAAATTATTGACCATCTTCATTTTCTACCAACTAACCATCAGTCATATAAAAACAGCAGATATTAAAAGCGCTCACTATTTTTCTATTTTGAAACGAAAACAGTAAATCGACAAGACGAAGAAAAATCGGGTTACTCCCCATAATGACATACATGTATCAGGTCAGTTAAAGACTGAAACTGATCAAAACTTAACACGTATGAAGCGGAGCTGACTAGCAAATATCTGCGTATATTTCACTTAACTGTTGTCTGAAAGAAGTTAGAAGAGAGAAAAAGAACAGAAGATTTGGTTTATGAAGTCAACCTATTGTTGTGTTACCTAGGTGCAGTGTCGAAAGAAAAAAGAAATTATTATAAGGAAAGATGAATAACAAAGTATCTTTCCTCTTTCATTTATAATCAGTTTTCAGTTTTTGTCTATTTAAACTTTTTAGTCTGAAACTGAAAGTGGTGTATGCCTGATCAATGAAAGCTGATAGATGGATCTTTACTACATAGATGTTATATGACTTAGCCATTAGGATCAGGTACCAAAGATCTCGGCAAGTCTTCCGGATACACAATCGTTGGTACTGAATGTGTTGTCAGATTAAGAGATGGTTCATAGGCTTTAATTACTAATGATTCTTTTATGAGCAATCTATATGGTTTTTTATTCCTCCATCGTATTTTGAAATTCATCCAATCAATCTTATGTCCAGTTTCAGATTCATGTTTGGCTAAAGCAGATTTTTCTTTCATATCTTTTTCACCTTCGTCCGTGCATTCAGCCTTACTCGCTGGATTATCACCAGTGTGTACTTTTAGTAGTTGATAAGTGTGACGTATATCCACAAGATAGTAAGATAGAAGAAGACGGTTCAGAATCACGAGATAGAGTCCGTCATAGTCATCCTAAACAACGCACAAAAGGCCTTCAAACTCAGCCGTTCACACCTGAAATTAGATGATCTTCTGGACTACTAGCAAAAACGCACACTGGTGATAATCCAGCGAGTAAGGCTGAATGCATGGACGAAGGTGAAAAAGATACAAAAGAAAAAAGCTGCTTTAGCCAAACATGAATCTGAAACTGTAGAGTAGGTTGGGATAATTCGGGACAGCATCTCTAATTTTCACAGCATTTTGAGCGTACCTGAAGCACTTTTACTCGGGAAAAGACGACACTTCGCAGGTGAATAGACCGAATATTTCTCTATCTACTAATGTAAAAATCCTGTTAAAGTTCAATAAGATTAATTAGTACTCATCAATTTCCAGAGAGCTCCTATCAAATGTTGGGGTAATTCGGGACAGTCCAGCAAAAATGGCTGGAAGAAAGTAAAACAACCTTTTTTCAACGGCAGAGTTTTACCTTTCTAATTAAAAATTATACCATCCTGTAGAGAATTTCGAGCTCTATCTACGTTGTAAATTACTAGCCCTTTGAACATATCCTTGATTAATTAATTAGAAATTGCTAAAAAGAACGATCGTTTCCTATAGAGAATATGAATACTGTTGTTTTTGAACGGTCTTTTGTCCCTTAAAATTAAAAGAAAAATTAAAGTAGAACCTTAACTGACATCAGCTCATGTCTCTTTTTCTTTTAATCTAGTTGCACCAGCAAGTACCACTGCTGCCACATGTACACCATCGAACTGTAATTCAAAACCAACACCTTGTTCATTTAACGTCGACTGCGAATGTTTTGCCCTGACAACCAATGTAACCACCGGGATCTGTGCCATTGCCGGTCTTGCCTGTTCAAGTTTTCTTCGTTGTAATTCCGATAATGTAACATGTTCCATTTCAAATACAGTCTGTGTCAATACGACATGATGTCAACAACCAGTGTGTTATCCAAAATCTGAGCACATTGTCGAGACACATGTACCAATATCATCATCTGCTGTTTTACTTCATCCAAATCAAAGAATTCACCAGATCACATCAATTATTATTCTGCAGTCATTGTTGCAGATTAATAAATATATTACAAAACTAACAATATATCCCCCTGGCAAGAAATAGTTAGACTCGGTATTTGTAACATATCATTACTATGAATTTACATTTTTAGAAAAGTAATTGTATATTCGGATAGCGCGCGGAATTCTCTACAAGTCTATATATGTACGTTTTGAATTGCACTTATTGGCTAGAAAGAAATTCAAGCACAGTGAAGGCACCCTCATCGTCAGATTCCCCGAAAATGCATTTTTCATTCATTTAAGATATTTATTTTAAACATAGGAACAAGTTATTACAAAAGTAAGTATATATTCTGAAAGCGCGTGAAATTCTCTATGATCCTGCACGTTGCCGGTCTTGACCTACAATTCTTTGCTGACAAATATTTGGAATATTGTTAATGTATTCACGTATCGCATTCCCATGGATTGTATTACATGCTTCTTCAACTAACTCTTCTTCTTTTACAGACCATGAGAAAGAGCACATTCAAAAGTGCAAAAAGAACTGAGTTCTCACATTTGAAACCCTTTTTTACGGCAATAACAGCTGAAGAAAAAGGTTAAAGTGGAAAAAAATACTAGATTTTCAAAGCTTTCATTTTTTCGTCTTTCGTATAATCTGCGTAGTTTTCGTGATTGACGTTCTGAAATTAAAGATTAGGTATGGTTTTGTAGAGTATTTCGCAGCGCATCTTTTTAAGAAAAACATTAACATTTGGGTCCTACAGAAACACAAGAAAAATAGAAAATACTGAGAGGCCGCACCCGTTACAATTCGTGAGAATGTGATAGGTAGAGGGCATTAACAATTCAAAATTTTTGCTAGCAAATAATTTCGAATTCAGGCTGGAAACGTAGAGGCTAATAGAGAATTTTAAGCGCTACCAGAATATATAATTACTTGTCTAGAAATATAAAGTTATAGTAATGATATATTACAAATACCGAGTCTGACTATTTCTTGCCAGGGGGATATAATCCAAACATGTATTCACGTCGTTTATCGGCCAACACGAATGTTGGCACAATTGCATCATTATTATCTAGTGACACACTCTCAAATTTCATTAATGATGATACGACAACTTCGTTAACATGTAAGAATAATTGTAGTTGTGGACAACATCTTAACCAATATGCATACTCAGATTCGGATTGTCTTGGTTCATACGGTGCTTATGATAATTGTTATTACCAACGATATATATCATCGTTAAATGAGCAACAACAATCGCATACGACTAAATGCATTAATATGATAACTGATAAAAATATAAATAATTCAACAACACATGTACCAACTGTGATTCAAGATGCTACCAAACATGTTAACAGCGAACAACAGCAACAGTTATATGGAATTCTTTTCACAAGTATAACAAAATATTTGATACGTCATCGCCAACAATTACTAAAACGACGAATATCATAGTTTGTAACTCAATTACGATCATTTTTTTTTTTGCGTTTGTGACCCTGTAGAGGGAGGATATTATGGCGTGGCCCATCAAGCTGTACGATATATCGGAATATCAGGAGAGGAGGTAGACCCCCTTAAGAGATAGTGACAGGACATATAACATAAACGTGTTCATATTTGTTTTAGAGCTAACTAGGTGATTAAATTGTAATTTACGATTAAAAACAGCTTTCACTCATCTCCAGTAGGGAAAAAGCTTGATAGATTATATGATAGAAAAGTAACCCTATCATACTCGAGAAGATAAGAGTTATTTTAAGGTGATAACAAAATTTCTCTACAAAGTAATATCAGACTTAGAGACATGTCCTAAGGATGGAGCTGACACTAGAAAACTTTCACTAAGTGTGTACAGAGTTATAATACCAGCGTATACCATCTCAAGGCTGGCAAGGTAACATATGAGAGAGCAGCAAGGCAGGCGGAAAAGGGGAAAGATAAACCTGCAAAACGATTTGCATCAATTCAGAGTTTGTTAGGTATTGCGGCATGCAGCTGTTATTAGTGAAATTGAGTAATGAGCACTTGCGTAATGTGACTCGATCCTGATGAATAAGCTGAAAAAAGAGGCTAACTATGTTACTCTTTTTGAAATGAAAAGGGAACATAATCTAGTATTTTCCGAATATCGAGATAAAATAACGAATGACCAGACGGTTGAGGAAAATCACACTGAAAGAGGGACGAACACTCTCATAGCATTAAGAGCCACTGAACTGGAGTATGGCACGCAGCTCAAAAAACTTGACTAGAGCAATGATGAATGAATCAGTTATGGATTTGTATGAGGAAATCTCGCCGCAATCCTAGGTTTTGTTAAAATTCACAATTCTTATTCAAGACACAAGTACACGAGCATTTTTCTTTCATTCTCATCGTCCATTGGAATCGTATATTTATCTAAACTGGTTTATCGAAAAGTGTCAGTGAAATCATAAAGCAAAATATGATCAAATAGGAAAGACGTTACAAAAAGCTTACAGCTGACAAAGGATTTGCTTCTCCACACGAAGAAATATATAACCAAGTTTGTTGATAAAGCAAATGTTCATGCGCTGTCTCGAGCTATGAATGCGTGACACGACATTACCACGCACGACATTACAGCGAACACAGAAAACGACAGTACCGCGAAGACTCGTTTATTGGAAACGAAGAATAAATGAGCCTGGTTTTGTATTTTGTATATCATGTTTTGAAACCTGAGCGAAGTTATGTAGTTAATAGTCATTATGTGATACAATTACAGACATCCAGTTTCATTGCTTATCGTGTTTGATCGGTTTTCTCTTCGGTACACGATAAACTGAAGCTCACTGTTTATAAGCATTGGTTTGTATATAATCAGGATTTTTATAGCAGTGCAGAACCCGTGACACGACATTACTGCGAACAGGACCCCGACTCTTCCATGAATTTTTCATGGTACACAGCTGAGTATTTTTGGCAGTATGTCGCGGGAGGTGGGATGTTGGCAGCGCGAGAGTGAATTCGAAAAGTAGTTTCACACAAAACATATTTTCATGATGCGAAACTGCATATCTGTAACTGTATCATATAATGACTGTTAATCACTTAACTTCACTCAGGTTTTAAGACATGATATGCAAAATACAAAATCAGGCTCATTTATTCTTCTTTTCCAATAAACAAGTCTTCGCGGTAATGTCGTTTTCTGTATTCGCGGTAATGTCGCTGTATCTATGAATGAGCAGACGAAAGCAGTAGTATTCCTTTGAAGCAGTTAAATATACATGGTAGCTGTCTTCGACCCGTTTCTCTTCGGTAAATCTTTTTTTATCAGAAAACAAAGGAATAAGTAAAATTCACTAACATTTTCCGTTAGAAAAAGAAATTAACAATTGTTTAATTAATCAATAAATGACAATTTCATGTGTTTTACTCATTTCTAATTGCAAATGTTTAATAGACAATGATTGAGTGTTCTGAAAGTATGTCCATTTTGATGATGTCACTACTTCATTATTTAATATTACTTCTTTTGGAGTTTGCATTAAACCATATATATAAATTCCATCTAGCGTAAATAATATCGATCTATAATTAAAGGACAATGGCTCCAATGTTAAACGATTTGAGATATAATTAAACATGAAATGTGAATAATAGTCGTTTTCATATGCGTCAATACTTTCACCATCGTCCCAATAAAGCTCGCCTAAAAAAACATTTTAGTTCCTAATAAAAACTCTTCAATGTCGTAACCTTCAAAGATTTTTCAATTTTGTAGTAGATTTATAAATATATAAAGATTTTGAATCACTTTGGCTATTCAAGAATGTTCTAAAGTTTCTGTAACAGATCGTGTAATGAAGAAATTTGACCGTGATCTTGAATAAGATATGCAGTTAATGAAGTTGAGACCTTGATAAGTATGTTTAATTTCTTCCTATCGCCTTGACAATTCCTTGAAGTTCAGTTTTTAAATTAAAACGCAATACTTTGTCTGACAGATCCCTCATGGAGTGCGAATACTGTAGCAGCAATTAGTATTTATACAAAAAAATGGAAAAAAAAAAGAAGCACGATCGTTTACAAAGTGAACTCTGAGAGCTTTTTTCTCTTTCGTTGTGTGTAGATAAACATAGACTTTATGAAGAATCTGCCGGGCATGCTTAATCTATAACTACTGAGTTTTAATTCAGAAACTGTGTGTTAAGGCGATAGAAAGAAATGAAATATTTATCAAGATCGCAACTTCATTAACCGCATATCTTATTCATCATCACGATCAAGTTTCCTTATGACACATTCTGTAATAAAAACAGCTTTGATAGAAAAGGAATCTGAGAACGATTTGTTTCACTTTCGGCAAGACGTGGGTTTTATGTCAAACACGACAATAATTATGTCACATTAAACCTACCTTTTGCGTTTTGTTGTTTATCCAATGCTATTTTGAGATACATCGGCAGCAATCTACTTTTCTGCGTATTTAGTGCATGTTTTTGATGTGGAATAATTGCACCACCTCTCAGATATAACGGCAAATAGTTGAGTGGTGCTGGAACAGTGATATAGGATGACCCATCTGCTGTCTGATACATTTCTTCGCCTGTATAATAATTGTACCATCGTTCATTTGAATTTAAACCAGAAAAATAGATTTCTTTTTCAACATGATTTTCATAAATAACTGGAGCTATGTGCAAATGTTTACCCCATAAAAATTGTTCATCCAATGACCAGCATTGACTATCTTCTGGAAACTCATGTGCCATACTACGAACAACAGTGCCACCCATAATATGTGCACGATAAAATAATGTATATAAATATGGTAGAAGAGTATAACGAGTTTCAACCACTTTACGATTAGACTCAACAACTGGAGGAGACCAACTACCTGGATCTTGATCTATAAATTCCCCGTTATGATTACGAAAAAATGGATTAAATGCGCCTAAATAAACAAGAAACAGATACCATTTAAATATAATTCGTTTTGTCAGTCCGTTTATTTAATTCCCGACTTTATTCGGAAACTACTTCTGTGTGACAGAAAGTTCGAGAATTTTATCTGGTATGTCGTAGAATCGATTTAATACCTCAAATGAAAATGTCAAGAAAGCGCACACAATACGCAACGATTTTATCATCAGAAATCGAGCATTTTTTGTGACAAGATCAACATCTCTCGACATTAACGTCTAGCTAGTAACTAGTTTCGTAGAGAATTCCATTACACTTCTCGAATCATGTAACGAAATAAAATGTTCACCGAGAATCTAAAGACATTGGCATCTCATGCGTTATTTTTTCTCTGCTCGGAAACCGACAAAATGATAGAACGCGCTTTATATCATGTCATATGAAGCGCAATACTTTTACCTTCTTGCATCCATCTAAAATAAACAAGCAAACAACAATTGTTGATAGAACTAGTTCAACATGCACTTACCGTTGACATAACTGTTCGGACGTATTACCGTAATAACCGCAGATGTCCGCACCAATATATGGAATGCCAAACAAATTAAATTCTAACATACCAATTATGTTATATTTGACATGTATCCATTTCGCTGAATTATCTCCTAACCAATGCCCACCGTACTTGCCGGATGATGGAAATGTTGAGCGACTAATGACAACTGATCGTTTATTTTCTGTCGCCTGAGCAGCTGACAATGTTGCTAGTGTTTGAGACCAACCATACAAAGTATGAACATCATAGTGTCGAAATATGTGTGAACCATTTGATTGTTCTGAAATCATACACAATGTTTTGTCTGACAGGCGATCACCTTGTATAGCTGTTTTATATACCGGGTCGTCCCACTCATCTACTGGACAATTCCAACCGTCACGAAATGGCCAATTCCGTGGACGGTCTTTACTCGTATCAAAGTTAGTCGGTTCATTCATATCAATCCATAAACTGTCAAATTTCAGTTTTTGATGATAATTTAATATTTCTGTTTTCCACTATTCTTTTGCCTCTGGCAAAAAGTAATCTGGAAAAACTGTCTTCCCAGTAGGCCGTGATTAATTCGTTCATTACGCAATTATTTCTTATAGGAAGGAAGCTGTCAGTAGTTTTCCTGTGTCTTTCATAATCCAATACGTAATAAACGACGTAATGTTTGAATACTCTATATACGCGACCTAACACATTGCGCTTGCCTTTGG